GGAGGGAGGGAGGGAGAGAAAAAGAAAAAAGCATCATAAATCCAACGTTATTCATTCCATACAGTAACAAATACAAACCAATTATTATTTTATTCGAATATTACAAAAGTAAAACGTCGAAATTTAACAATGTAACATAAGGAATTGATTTCCTTCCTATTCCAATGGAAAAGTTTGACAGTTTATCTTTTTTTTTAAATAATTTATACTATTAATTGTCTTTTTTTTGAAATCTGTCATTTATTTTGGAAAGCTTTTTGAGCAACAAAGTTTTATTTATTCTCACTTCTTAAATTAATGCATTTTGAATATAAAGAAACATAATGATTTATTCAATTCTTTGTTACAGTAAAATTTTTCATAAGATCATAAGATGACTATAATTTCAGGCAAATTTGATAATCTTCTCTTTTTCTTTAACTTCATACAACAAAAGTGATAAGCTTTTTCGATATGAAAATGAATGATTACGCTGAAATTTTTGTTAAATTATTGCATTACCTGTAATCACATGAAATATTTTATCTAATTTAGGATGTGGAAAAATTCATTAACTGTATGTATCCTAGGTGTCAAGCATTTTGTAAGTTACTAATATTTAACCTTTCGAAAAAGAAGATGAGGAGTTGACAGTAAATAAAAAGAAAACAAAAGGATGAAGTGTCGTTGCAGATACACACAGGAAGGGTAGAATAATGGATAATAGCCGCCGAACAAGGCTAACAGTAAGAAAGAAGGGTCGGTGGGGTAGGTGTTGTCACTTCGTAGTCATCAGGAATATCGGGAAACACGACATATGTATGTAAGTACATGTATGTATGTGCCCGGTTCCTAGTGTTATGGGTTTTGTTGGGCAATTGCTGAGCAAAACCAAACGAACCAATGAACTACACTATTTGTAGCAGCAGCATCGGCGCTGTCGTTGCCACCAGCACATTTGACACCGATCGTCCATGCATAGCATTTTCAACGATGTGGAATACCGACAACACCGACAACCAATTCGTAGATATGGTGCTAGCAGAACTTAACGAAAAAAGGCTTCCAAAATTGTTTTTCAAACTAAGCTACAAATTGTAGTAGAGGAATATTCGGAATACGTTCATTATTTTGAATAAGGGATCTATTAGATCCGCGATTGCTAGGAAGAGAAATTTCGAGCAAAAATATTGGGAGGGTTTTTAATAGCTTCTAATATTTGCTCCATATGAGCCGGATTCAGCTGTCTGACAGTCACCAAACTTTTCCGCATCATCTCGCGATTTTGTCGCACAATATTGTCATTTTCATTCCATTCCTTTTGAACTGCTAGCATTTTCGTTGCAGAATCTTGAGACTCAGGCGCCAGTTTGTAGAGCGATGTATGTGGTAACAGATCTACTACAACTTGCTGTTCATCAAGCTTTTCGTCAATTTCGGCGGTAATAATAAAGGTTGAATCTAAGCATACATGAATTTTACTTCTACATTTTATGTTACTACAAAATTGAATTAACTTTTGTTTAATTCATTTCGAAAACATGTAGTTCTATTTTTATCGAAAAACAGTTCCTAATGAATTGAATTTGTGCAATTTGGGGCTCAATATACTCTCTTGAAAATGGTTTTTCTAAGCACCACCTACCAAGGAAACTCTTAAATTTATCTAAATGAATGACCTTTATTATTTATCCGTAAATGTATGAATAATTAGATGCAGCTCATAATTAGATAAAACTTAGGTATGATACCTGCTCAATATTTTCTTATATATCCTGCCATTCTTCAAATGAAGATGGTTTTTTTCTCCAAGACACAATATTGATTTTAATGCTTTCTTGTCAACATTTTCAGTCTTGCAATCGTTGTGGCCGCTATTAGCTTTGCACAATCAGCATTTTCCGCAATTTTGTCCTCTCATATCGCCTATTCCTGATATCCCACTCATTCCATCATCACCTGTTTATACATACCTATTTCCGTTCTTTTGATCTTATTTTTGTTTTTAGCAGGTGGCAGTAGTTCCTTCTATAGATTTGATTTTTTTTGAATTTCTGAACACCTTATCAATTTACTATTCTATCTTTCTTTTTATTCCTTATACAGACAGGAACAATATCTTTCGAGAATTCCTGGCTTTTCAATTCATACTTTCACCGTGCAACTATTAACTTCCCAGAATCGTTACTGCTTCTTCTACATTTTAATTCACTTTACTCTCCTTCGATTATCCAGTAATTTCTTATAACTTTTTCTAGATGTTCAGAAGGAAATACTATCAGAAACGGACCCATTCAGATTCTCTTTTCCTCTTATTTTACCTTGGCGACATCCACAAAAATGATATAGTATCACCAAAAGAAAAGCACATTTTGTTGATTAGTCTCTTCGATTTCATCCTGATATATTGACTCAATTGAGCTCTTATTTTTATTTTTTAACTGTTGTGGAAGAATAGCAAAAGCGTTTGCAATTTGCAAAATATTGAAAATAATAAATAAAGAAACCGTACAGATACAAAGCAGTTATTGAATTTTTCTGCAAAACAATGGTATTTAGATAAAAATATCATTCCCATCTAATGTTGAATGGTTATGTTTTCCGGATATTTTCAGAAACTAGGCATATATTAATTTTTAGATATGGTTAATTCTCAGAAATTGCGTAACCGGTACACTCGACCCGAATTTTTCATTTTTCGAACTTAGAAATTAGCCTGCCAGCAGATCAATCAACTATCTCAGTACTATATTCGAAGGATCCATCTAAAATGTTAGTGAACGCTGGCTACGCTGAAGTAATCAATGCTGATGAGCACCCTTCAGTTAACTAATTTCATTTTTATTTTTATTTTTTTTAATATACTATAATAAATTGGTGGGTCCATTGAGTAATTCGCTGGAAATTATAAAAATTTTCAAATTTCTTTATTGAGGTCAGAGTAATAGCTAACCAATTTCGGTCAGGTAAAACAGTTCAAAATGAAGATCAAACATCAACGAAGCTGTTGAATTTGATATAGGAGGCATGTGATGATAAAAAAACTCGCGATTTGGCAATTTATGCTGTAAGAATTTTATAGCTTATCTTTCAAAATTTGGGGGTGCTAAGCAATGGCTTATTAGCAACAAATGTAATTTAAAGTTTTAAAATCTTGACATATATTTTAATACTCCATAATGTTCGCTTCAAAGTGCCAATGGCAGATAGGGAAAAGTTGAGCTTTGAACTTTGAGCTTCCTTCGTTAGTGACACCATCGTCCTTCTTTTGGATCTTCCATTCAATCACAACTGCATTCATGGATATGGTGGATGAATTTCTGGATTATTTGAGATATTTTTATTTAAAATGTATCATCTAAGAGAAGAACCCAAAATGGATAGGGATAGACTTTCGAAATATATTTTTTACTTTTGTACATTTGCTTTTACAAGATGATCAAATAGCAGAAGAAAAGCAAATAGGGAGAATACATGATGAATGCGCAACAATTACAGCATTATTTTTCATTGGCAAATTATATGTTGCAAATGCAGGAAGCTATCGAGCGCTATTGGTAACAATAAATGTGACTCAACAACTGAATCACGATTTCACACTAAGAACGGAGCATAAACGGTTACAATTCTTATAAGTTTTTTTGGACCAGAAGTTTTGGTTATCAAAGCAACTTACATTTCAAATGCGAATTTTTGCTTAAGTTTGTTAGGCTAACTAAAAAGCCATTTTGATGAAGCAAACCTTGTCGAATATACCTTTGATTTGTCAAATTTTGGTTTTAGCAAATGTCACCAGATAGATTTTCAGGTCTTAATAATAACTTCAATTAAATGAAAGAGCACAGTTTGTTCAAAATTAAAATTGTCTTCTGTATACCTAATGGTGCACTTACACTACGTTCATCATCCATGTACTACTTCTGCTCCTTTCAAGCGCAACTTATCACAATATAATATTATTCTCCTTGCCTTTCACGCTGATAATTTGTACTCTTTAATCCTGACAGCAGCTTAAATCCTTGAGATCTTCAAGATAATTTCCGGCTTGGAAAGTTGTTAGATGTGGCATAAGAAGTACCTAAAATATTGCGACAGATGATATGCAGGTGCAATGTGATATTCTATCATAGGATTTCATGCAGAACATGAATAAAGTTAAAGGAAAAGAAACGAATTGCATTTAATCATATTTATAGGCTTACAAAAATCCTGAATTGATATCGAACTGTTGCAAATACAATCGTTTTCTAATCTAATACAGAACGATTTGAGGAAAAAAGTACTATGTTGTGATTGTTTCATGGATGGATGGTGTTTGTTATTTGATGTCTTTGTGTCATATAAGTTAATAGAATGTAACTTGATCTTGTTAAATTAGATCCGAATCTGCACAACTTCATTTCTAATCTCGTATTGCAAGGATTGCAAAAACCGTTTGAGAATCAGATTTGATAATACCTTTAATTAGTGAGTGTGATAAAAAGTTTTACAGAGAAGTTATATTTTTTAAACTTCCGTCATGCTGAGATAAGTGAGAGGAGAGTGTTAAAGAATGCTAAAATTTGGTATTCTTTGGCATCGTTTAAATTATCGTATGCCGTACTAATAAATTTAATTATAAAAAATTAAAACACATTGAGATATAAAGAATTAGAACACACGGATATGATTGATTTTCAAATAGCAAATACAACTGTATTTGTTGCTCGCTAATTAATTACTAGTGAATTATTATTTAAACTACTGTGAATTAAATATTGCAAACTAATAGATAAGCACCTTGCTAAAAAGGTTACTGATTGCTATAAATTATTATTTAAGTTCTGTCCACGTTGAAAAAATTTATATTATAGCATTGAAAAGCGTATGTTAGCAGCGAACTTGAGAGATAATAGTCCCTAATTGAAAGATATATTTGCGACGAAGGACCTTTTAAGTATAAAGGATATAAATTAAAAAAATTGATAGACATAGGACATTGAGACTGCACCAGTTAATCCCTTTTTTTTTCTTCGAATGATTTTAGCCGTAGTTTTAGTGATAATCATTTATTCATTACCGATAATAAAATTCAAATTAAGCCATTTTTGTCACCAGCACCGGAGGTTCTGTCCTGATTTATTTTTAAATTCAAAAGTAAGTAAATTAAAAAATTTTTTCTATGGAAGCCGGTTTTGTTTACCAGAGAATGATTTCTGGAGGAAATTATCATATTCTTCAAACGTACTCCAGAATCCTGTGCATTTAAATCAAATAGAGTTTTCAAACACAATGTCAATGATTGCAAGTATATTGTCTGAATGTGTCATTCACAATCAAACAAGCTTAGTTTATATCAGTCTGATTTTTAAGCTTAGAATTATTTCAATTCTTTAAAATTATTTCCAATCAAATCAATATTACATTATTGTCATTTATTTAAGAGAGTATTAAAATTGTACAAATTGCAGGTAAAAGTTCTCAAACTTCGTAAGTTTAATTCATTATGCGATAACGATGTTCTCGTGCTAGCATTGGATAGCCTACGGGTTACTTTAGATAACGATGATGTATCAATGATTGTAAAAACTGCACTGAATGGTTCTGAATTTGCTGATTATCTAAGGTTATTTTAATTATTTAGAATTAGTTTGTCGTTTAAATTTTTAAAAATATGAGAGTGTAGTAAAATATCTTCAGGAATATTTGACAAATATTCCTGAAGAATTTGACAAATTAGCAAAAGAAAGCTAACTTTTCAAAAAGCAAATCTATAAAGGATCAGTCTCTCAAAAGCATTCTAAGGTTCAGAGTAATTAGAGGTCATGTAACCATAACTATTTAATTTCGAAAAGTATGTTTACAGGCAAGTAAGTGTAATTGATTTAAATTTGGTATAATCAGTGAAGACCGTAATGGCAAGTATCAATATCCACCACTATTTTGCAGATGTTAAAATTCAATTTATATACACGACAGTAGCACAAGAGCTCGCTGCTGCAGCACGAGGTAATCCGACAGTATCTTATCGAAGGCAAATATCTGATGCAGGTTGCGCTTTCACTGATCATATCACTGTTTCTGTTGTTACATTGAGGCATGCTTTAGTACCAATGAGACCCGCAGATGATGAATTGGAGTTTTTTCAATAACTAGATGGTTAAATGAGCCTATCTTTCGTAAGAGAAGTTCTGTTAATTAATTAATTATAAGTGATGAAAATCTGGTAATAGTCAAATCGGTGGAATAAATCTGAATAAATGATCTAAGGACATTAAAAAAAGCATGATGTGTTATGAGAAATCGTATCTTCTTTGTATAAAGTTTAGATTTCAAAAGTTGAACACAAATATGAAATCACTTTAACATTATTACTCTCGACTAATATCTTCCAAGTGTTAGTGCAAAATTACTTTGCAAGTTGAAACTTCGCTGTATTAGTGCGAAATTTACCGATAAGAACACGAAAGATTGCGAAAGATCAGAACCTAATATCAGCTACCTTCCTTCTCTCTAACCTATCCCTCTCTCATTCCACAATCCTATCTATTCTCTATCAGCAGGCATACAAAAAAAAAACTCAAAAATATTCATTACCCTCTTATTATCATCAAGCTATAATCTTATCTGTTCCATCCTTCTTTTCGGATAATGTGTATTAATAATACTATATCTTTGTTCATCGATGAATCATCAGCATTTCCGCGCCAGATTGTCGACCCTTTCCCTGTCATCGTGCATCTTTCACGTGCACCTGCAAGGCATAAACACAGGCACACACACACACACACACACACATACACACACACACACACACATACACACACACACACACACACACACACACACACACGCACACATATATATATATATATACACAGACACATACACACACACACACGGCGCGTTCTCTCTCGTTTGATTGTAAATCACTTGTGAGAGGCTCGGGGCTGTTAATCTTCACTCATTAGATTAGTGAGTTTATATGACTGTGATGACATGCTTATGTTATTTGTGTTGTCACTTGTCATATTTTGAAGAAATTTTTTAGTTTTAATCATAACGAAATTAAAATTGGAAATAGAACTGTGAAAATATTTTTGTTCTCTTTTGAATAATCAACCAATAATATGTATTCTGAGGAAGTTATTTGCATACTTGTGAAATTTAATAGAAATAAAGGGAAGATTTTCGTTTCCATTTCCATTACGATTTGAACAGGAATGATTGGAACAGTTATTGACAGCTAACGGGATCGATTTCAGTATGAATCATTCTTACAAATAACTTTAAAAAAACTTCATCATTTTGACCTTGATAGCCAATTTATTGGCAAGTGCTTCAAATTATTCACTGGCAGTAAGCACCAACAACTATTGTTTGTCGAAAGATGATGATGATCACATTCCCAACGATGTTAAACGGCAGTGATGGACGCAATTATGCCACTAAATCAATATTTAAAAAGTAGAACCAACTTGATATAATTAACTAACCAGTATTTTCTGAACTTGTAGCCTATTTCTTGTCATCCCTCACAACGATTCCATTTTCTATCATTTTCATTTCTAAAAATTCATTACCGAAACATTGTGTCTGTAAACTCTTAATTCAATTCATAATCCATCTTCATAATTTATATTGTTAACATAAAGATTTAATTGCATTTATAATAATTATTGTAATTTGTGTTGAACGATTTGCAAAAATGTTGACCAAAATTTGAATATTGAGACATTTTGATAGGTTAGAAGTTCCGTATTATTTCACATTCACCTGTATGAGTCATATTCTCCACTCTCCCTTCGCTCCGACCAACGGTAATTATTACCTTTTAATAAAAACTGATGGGCTCTGATATGCCATACTTCACGTTTCCTAATACCGCTTTGTCGATAAAGACAAAAAAAAGGCCTCATTACGTTTATGGCTACTGATAAGAGGGGATGAATCAGATTTGAAATATCTTTACAATGTATCCAAATTGAATATGCTCCATTAAATCGGCTCGTAGCCTTTTTCGAGAAAAAAAAGTAAAAGTAAAATTCATTACTTACATTTTTGAAATTTCTTTAATCAAATACCATTTTTTCTTCAACACAATACTTTCATTTAACAGCAAATTTTTTAAGCAACAATTTTCACTTCGATACATTCGTGCATGCATAATTATTAGTACATCAATGCATGCTTCCTATTTATAATAACTCTTGCATTCTCTCACACTATTATTTTTAAAATGATTAAACTCTTCATATTATTTCGTTTTTACTTATCGCAGACATATAGATGATACGATGAAAAATGAGCCACACGGCAATATGCCTAATTTTACTCCCAACGATTTTCAAAATTTTTACTATGAATTGATATTTCGAGTTGCAGTTGATAATGGTCACAAGATTCTTCAGATTTACAGCATTCAACATTTATTAATATAGTATTTATGTGACGATAGATTATGGGCAATTTTATAATTCAGCAGGACTGCACAAATGAAAATGGAGATTGGAAGAATGCTTTAAAATTGGGCGAAATCTACTTTCATAGCATAATTAGAAGAAGGTATCTTTTAAGACAATACCTTCCGCATCGCCGCTACTAATGAAATGGACAGGATAAACATTTTGTCTTTGTTGGCTAATTATGACTAAACGACTGTCACATACTTGTAATGGTTTATCGTTCAATAATTGACTGTTTTTAGATTTGTCTTATCGATTTATCTATAGTTTCCATTTCTGTATCAAAAATTTTGATCAAATTTAAATATTTCGGTGGATAAAATTGCATTGCATCATACGACACTTTTTTTTTAATTTGTTATTGATTTCGTTTAATCATATTCAAAGGCTGAAACTTATGGTAATCTTTCAAAGCAATTTAAAACGAGAAAGGTGAAATATTTTGTTAAATATTTATTGTCCTGTTCACTTTATTGCGATCTTCTGTTAAAAGTTTCGTTTTTCTCTTTTTTGGCTGATATGGTGCAGAAGTCAGTCCGTTCTTTTTGTTTGATTTTCTCCTTTAACATTTTCATTCCTACAATCATTTTGTTGTTATGATAAATTAATTGGATGTCTTAGAATTTGTCCACTTTTATGACAGTCTGAATTTTATGCCCAAACCTTTAGTTTTTTCCTTTCTTTTCCAAATGCAAGCTTTCAATTCTTTGTCTTAGTTTATTTTGATTTAAACGACTATGCTGATTTAAACGACTTTTTCCAAAAATTAATGAAATCTTGCCGCAGCGAATCAATACAGAGGAAAAAGGACGATATGGTCAAGCGAGCTATTGTTTTGTAACGTATAACAGCTGCATTTTTTAAAAGTTCGTTTCGTTTTCCAAACATTATGGTGCATTACGCGAAATTATTTTAGGCATCAGAAAGCATTCGTTGGTTATGTTATTGATCTTACTGTATCAGTCGTTCCCTATGTTTTTCTTCATCATAAGTGAGGACACTATTTGGATATATGGCAGTCCTCATTTTGATGAAAAAATAGTATTTTTAGGTGGCGCAAATGACAACAGTGAACTTGGAATTTCAAATGGTACATTTAAATTCATGCTTTCGGTTTTGATAAAATTAGGGGTGGATAGTTGAAAGATGAAATGGAGTGAGAAATGCTAATCGCCATATATAATTTTTTTTAAGTAGCTGGGAGATCTAAGAATCTTCTCACCAAAATTTAATAAGTATTTTAGCAGCCGGCCGTTAAACAATTTTTATTTAGGCATGACAATGAAACGAGTACATCGCGATGCTGGAATTCTGAGCACGCCATTGTTTGGTGCTTTTGTAACCGGCATCATTGGTAAGTTGTAGCTTTCTCAAATTCCTTTCACTTAAAATTGAAGATCATTCCGAAAGATAAATGTAAAATAAATTAATGGGAGGGTTTGGGAATTTTCATAAGTTTTTGAAAAAGGGGTTTGAAATTATTTATTAAAAGGTAAGCTTAGGACGTGAGAAGAGACACGTACGTGTGAAGAAGAATGCGGAGCCAGTAATTGAGGCTGTTCTTCATGGCATTATTGGTACGCTTGTTTTCAATTTTCGTAGTGGTTGCTGTAAATGAAAATATTTACAAAATATGATGTATACGGGAAGAATGGTTATCTAAATTGTCTTCCCGTAATGATAATTTTCCTAAATTAAATCATTGCTAGGCTTCGCGTCAAAGCGTTACGATCTCTTCTCATATATAATATAATGCGGAAAAAACTGGCTTATGATTGCAGAAATTTTCGCTGACATTGCCGTTATTAATGGAAGATGATGACGAGCATATGGTTGAGTTTAGAAGTTGGGAACTGACAAGATTTCCCAGTTCGAAAACTTTGATGCCCTAGCGCCAAAAATCATTTTTGGGCTCAAAAGCAAATTATACTTTTTACTGGCACTGTGCAAGCGTTTTCATTTGAACCTCTCACTCTTACACTTTATTTTGCTTCAAATTTCGGGGAACAATTATCATTTTTATTCGAAAAAAAGATTGATTTGAGGAATGACAGCTAAAGCAGTCTCGGATTTAACAACTTATCATCCATACCCTTCGGATGGTGGTTGTAAGTGGTTCGGTACAGCTCCATTTTGTAATGGACAGTGTCAAGCAGAATATGACTACATCAGGAACAGCAATGGACGCTGCAGTAATTGGTGGTTCTCTGGGATATGTAAACCCGATCCAAGTTTTGGCGAATCATGTAGCACCATTTTGGGTGGAAATTTTAAAAAACGTTTTTGCTGCAAGTAAGTTTATCCTTGTTAGTAAAAAAAAGATTTTAATTTGATGTGATTTTAATATTCAGTGCTTGCTAAACATATAGCATTGTGCTCCATTTGATTTTCCGAAGTCTTCACTATTTCTCTATTGATAATACCATTTTATCGCATCTGTTATATCAGAATGTTACCAAATAATCAAATAATTTATTGTTAATTTGGTTGTTTGTTGTTCTAATTCCCAGCTTCAGTTGTTTTGATTTTATGAGTGATCCATCTGAATGTACATGGAGTGGCCGCTGGATGGGTGCATTTACTGCACACAATATTTACTGTCGATATGACAATCATGGTCATTGTGGTCATCTAAACTGTTCCGTAAATCATTTCAATTATCAAGTAATATTTTTATGCTTCAAACGATTCTTTTTTTTCATTTCTATTTTCTTATCTTCATTTTCTTTCAATCAAACTTTTTCAAATTTCGAAAAAATTTTTCATTTTTAACTTGTTTATTCATTAAATGAATGTGATTTTCGTTCGAACTGTATAATTTTTTTTAGTTTATAGGTCAAATTATTCGAAGAGATTGAATATGAAATTCTGTTGCGTGTTGGCATCATTTTAGGCTCAGAATTCAACTGAAATTATTGGCGAACGTTGCGATCAAATTTCACTGTTTGGTCTGCAGGGTAAGGCAACATGTGGTTATATTGCATGGTTTGATGATAGTGGAACACTTGTTGATAGTTGGTATAAAAGTAAATGAAATATCACTAATAATACATCCTTATGAAATGCTTCACTTTATGCAGTGCCTAATAGTGCTTAATAAAGCATTTATTATTTGTTACATTCATTGTATTATATGTCGACAATTAATCCACTTACCTTATGCACTATAATACCTGAATGGTGTAAAAAGGGATTATAATGAGAAGCACTTTTAGTTATTATTGCATCAGTTATCATTTAAATAAGTGATACGGATAAGGGAAAAAAATATATTTGAAATTAGTAAGGAATTAAATAACGTTCACATTTTTCTACATTTATAGTTTTTGATTTTTAAATATTTTTTTGATTTATAGGACCTCAGCGCACAGCACCACTGTCTTTTTTTTTGTGTTGAATTGTTTAATGAATAAATTTATTTTGCTTAGAGGTTGTTGCAATTTTCCATGTAAACTTTCAATTCGTGATGTTCCGTAACCTTCAAATAATCATAAACGTTAACTTACGCAGACTAGCAGTACTTCTTAAACACGGAAGCCGAAGCTATATAGTGATATTTAGTGATATTTCGTGATTCCAACTTTTTCAAGTAATATCTCCAGAATTAAGTGCAAAAGGCATTGAAAATTGCCGTTGGAAATCACAAAATTTAGGAACGGAAATCACATGTCAATTTGTTAATAGAAAATTCAAGATGAACTTTGAAGTAATTGAATATGTATATGTTCAGAAGAGTGAATATGATCTTTAAAGTTTGATTAGTTGTTCTCAAACTAGAAGTTAAATTTGGGTTTTCTTTCTGATTAAATTTTTGTTATGATTTCTCAGATGATAGAAGCAGTGATCATGATAGCAGCAAGTCATTGATCTCACTTGAAATGAATTGAAGCAATTCTGCTGAGTCGTAGAAGACGATGAGCGTGCGTGCGTCAAAATTTTCAATTAAACACACTATATTAGACATGGTAAACATATTTATAATTTATAAATAATTGCTACGCGAAGGATAGGAATTATGCTGTGGAAAAACGATAAATGAATTCAATGTTTCTTACATGAATACCTAATGATTTAATTAAGAAATGCTTTAGTTGGCGTTCAAAGGTAATTTAACAACAACTTCGAAAACATTCGTTCAGATGAAATACAGGAAAAATAAAACCCTTTTTAACAACTCTAATATTAAAATTCTAAAAAAGTGAAAATTTTCACAAACAAAAAATTCTACGAACAATAATATGATAACGACCATAAACAAATAAATGACAAATTGACACAGATATCCCGTATATATAACAATGCAGCTGCAATAGTTATATCGATGCACAAATTGATATATACTAATGAAAAACAACTAACACGATTTGTACGACATCCAAAAGATTTTTATGAATTTTACAAACTGAAAGCTAACAATATGATTTATTTCTGAAGAATACCGGTCATGGAAAAAGTCATAGCTTATTTAGTGACCCGAAAAGAAGAGGTAAGATAACAACATGAAGAATTATAAAAAAAGACATAATAACGATTAGTTGTTGTTGTGTCACGACTACACTGGTTCTGTTTTCAAGGTTTGTTTCTAAACGCTGTAAGAACTGCACAATACGATCCAGAGTGTCCTTTAAAAAATAAAAGGAAAGTTTTTTTATAAGAACAAATTGCTGAACCAACACCGTAGAAATTCTAAACCATTCCACTATTTTTTATAGAAATATAAGTCAAATTTTATTTCTCATTCAAAGAAATTTAAATAAAGTTCCAGTTCCCACCACGCCATGCTATAGTCTTTAAAGATTTAAAAGTTTAGGTGTCTGGAAATACAAAAGCTGAATAATTAAAAGATGAAATGAAACACTTAAAAAATTGGTAAAAAAAGCTTTACTTCCACTTGTTGTAAGCGATCAAAATCTCGTGAACTATGTGATCTCTTTTTCTGGCAATATCGCTTATCTGTGAAATTAGAGTACATGAAACCATTCCGAAAATCTTTTGTAAAATGCAAAATAAATAGAAAAGAAAACAATAGATTAAACAAACGAGCTTCAAAAACATAAGCACGTTTTATAATGGAAAATTAGGGATGAATCCACCATTACACTCATTTCAAAACTATTTTAATGAGTTTTTCCTAATCTTTCCTAACTATTTTAATGAGTTTTGTGAGACTATTTGTTATGATGATTCGAAGTGCTATTCGATCCACATTTAAAAAAGTAACATACTTCCGGGTGAATCAGAATCTTCAGACTGCTCTTGCTGCACAGAAGCTGAGCTCAGCGGTGAAGCAGACCGCTCTTTGGTTCCATGTTTAGTTTTTGTCCGTATTACATAACCGTGTTCAATTTGACGAATATCATCATTTTCATCCCACGCTTGATAACTATAATAAACTGAATGCTTTTAAAAAGTCTATGATACGTTTTTCCGACAAACAAAACTCTAGTATTAAGCAAAAAGATTACCTAAATCGAGTTACAAGTCTTCGCTACAGTACACGTCATATTGTAAAGACTGCTGCTTTAAATGTATCTTTGCAAATTTAATATTAATGTTGCAACATATAATTTAAATATTATCCTTTTATAGAAGTTCTTAAATTGCAAAACACTTCCATACCATTGCATTAGCAAATTATTAGCTCAACTTCCTCAAGTCAACTTCCCATTTTTTTCAACTGCACTTAACATGTTACGTTCCGGAATCATGGCAATACTGCCCATAAGACGATATTGAAAGAAAGAACACTGATATGATTTACAAAAAAGTTCAGTAAATAAAAGAATTACTAACTCAGCATGTATGTATTCATAATTTTTCGACAGCAAATCTTGCTTGAACCACTTAGGTTTGTGGAGTACACCAGATTTAGCGCGAGCGCGTTGTTCATCCTCTAATCTACTTTTTTCTTCCGTTGCAGCTTTCTGATTGTCTTGAGCTATTGCTTCACTTACTTTCAACCATAACCTTAATTGAAGACCAATAATTCCAATCCTCGCTAACCTTACCATTCGCCAGATCAAAGACCAAAAATTCTAGGATGAAAAAAAATAAATACTTCTTTGATTCCCAATCACCCTGCTCTTCCAGAAGAATTTCGTAACGCTTAAGTCGTTTTGCAATTACATCAGATGTTGGTGCCCATAAAAGTGTCTTTAAATCCTGCAACAAAAATACCGAAAAATTCACGATCTTCGTATAAACATGTTGACTACTAATATGGATCTTTATGATATTACACTTTAATACAATTTGTTCGAAGTTTAGCAATTCTTTCAATAAAAGTTCAGATGCTTTTGACAGTGTTATAGAAAGCTTTAAAGATGTTGCAACATTGCCATATTTAAAGTCATATTCCCTTCTGATTAAATATGAAATTTGGTGTAACTGTAATTAACGACTGCACAGTGTTTCACCAACCAATGCGATGCTTCAAAGACTAATGTTTACCTTTTCGATTATATAAATTTCGCCATCCCAAGCTCCTTCAATATGCGCCACTGATTCTTTTTTACATTTGATATCTCCCGTAATAAGATTCACCACTCCTCCAATGAATGGTTTTAATTTAAAATCAAGGTCGCATACATAATCGGTACGATTGCACTCTATTCTAACCTAAAATGAGATTTTAATATGTTCTCTGAAAATAAATGATAGTTTTATGGTTTCATTAAAAAAAGAATTTCACGCTAAAATCCCGATTCTTATATCGTTTTAAAAGCTTGTAAATTCAAAAACTACTCATTTTTGTTTCTAGATTCAGATTATTAAAAGTAGCATGCCGTTATATTAAAAATGAGAAGAGATTCACCTGACCACCGTACTCCATTGACAATGTTCCAATCATGATACCCTTACAGTTAGCATATGGAAGGGTAGCAATATATGTTTCACCCCGCCGTAAAAGCGTTATTCGTATATCACCGATCATCACAGCTGATAAACTGTTCCCGTAATATTTGCTTTTTGCCAGTATTGTACCTGATATATTGAAACCTGCTTTACGATTCGTTAAGAAAAGGGCCGAAACTGGTGGATGGTGAGAGACCTGGAACGGAGAGATTTCAATCAAAAATGGATTTTTATAAATAATGTAATTCGACCATTATTAACTTAGTATTTGCACTAAATTCGGTCCTTGAAAAATCAAATATGTCTTCGTTCGAGAGTCCAACAATTTTCGACATATATTGCTATATTTGTGAATCATACTAAATATTTATTTATGAATCATTAAAATAAAATTAAAATATAAGCTATATAAAATAATTCTGGCTTACAGCTCAAAAAATTTCCGGAAAGAAGCACCCAGAAAATGTAGTCAAAATCGAAAAATCAACCTGTTCAGCAACATAGTAAGATGTTGAATTGTCGGGATGTTCCCATTTACATCGAAATGTTTCTCCTAATATCGGATTATATGGTTTTTTTAAACCTTTTGGTTTCTTGTAAAATCCGCTCAAATAAAATTTTAAAATCGTTTTCATTCTTTGTAAGGGATCATCCTCAGTAGCAGCTCTAGAATGTTATTCAGAATACAAAAAAGAGATTTTTCTGATCTCTTTTATAGTATTTGAAACTTTTCTTACAAATTAGATGAGACAGAATGAAAAGATAAGCGCTTTATTTTTCTTTTTATAACAACTAAGTATCATTTCTTGTTATGTCTAATAAAAAATCAGAAAACTTGCTCAGCAATAATATATGAGTGGTAATAGAAATCTGTAAGTTTTTCGAGGAACGAACGCGGTTCCAAAATGAATGTAGGCAAAGTAACTTTTGAAAGGTCCATTCCAGGTCGTACTTGTTTCAGTAAACTCCATACAAGACTTCTGTTTTCATCAGCAAGATCTTCGACTTGTGTTGTTGGACCAAACTAAAAATCTTAGCAGTTAAAGCCATCTAAACAATAGTGCTTCTGAATTCCTCTAACAGAATCTCTCTTTTATAAATCAGAACCACTTCAAATTTAAGTTATAATTCTTCGGTTAAATTGATAACACAGAAATGACAGGCTAAAAAGTAAACCTGCTCTGGATCTGACTGAATGTATGAGCTCTCTTCTTCATAATCAATAGTTTCATCATCGCTACCTGATGCTGCCCGATCAACATCATCATTCAAGCCTTTATAAAAAATTTCAGTTGGTGAACATAAGAATTACGAAATGGAAAGTGCTCGTTCAAGACTGATGCTATACGATCAAGAATAATTAATGCTTAAAATAAGGAATAACAATTACACGTAAGGCAAAAGAATAAGACTTCCTCACCGTCAAAATGTTTTTCTGCCTCAACTTCGCTGAATTCTTGAGAACTTTCAACGGTATCATTATATGAAATATCTCCAAAGGTATTCGGTTCATCGATGGTTGTTTCTTCTTCTTTCTGATTACAGTTAGAAAGCTAAATTTTCAATAGGAGATACTATTTATTTTCTGTCATGCATTTTCGAAAATTGTACATTAAATTGAATAGCTGAACCGTCAAATGCGCAATGGATTCAATACTTCTTTACATTGACTGTGCTCATTCTGAAGATTTTAAGAAGCAAAATCTTACTTTACGCATGCTCCTCATTAAGAGACCACTGCAACGGAGAGTCAAATGCAAAGCATCCATCCAACAGCCACCTGCCTAAACAAGTAAATAAATTAAGTTGAATTTCAATTCTTTAATAAAACCATTCCACCAGTTTTTGAGATCCAGAAGACACCTGACTTTTGAAACTTCAGTCAAGGACAAGTTTGCATCAAAACTCAAAATGTACAGATGAGTCATGGAGTCACAAGGTTCAGGACAGATACAGCATAAAAAGATTAACTATTATTACTTGCTCAGATGGTGCTCGACAAATCAAATAAGCAGTAGGTAAGGGCTGAATTGTAACCACACCATGACTTTCGCCTAACGGTCCACGTGTTGCCCATATACTCTGATCCATCGGATGAAACAGTTTGAAGCAAAATCCATCCTTTTTAGATGGTCTTTCTATCAGCTCACAGTTGTTCAACAACACTGTGCCAATCCAATGGCCCGGCTTAAAAAGTAATAAAAATTTGGCACAGAACGACGAATAAAACCCCCCCAGAAGTGCATAACTTCATCTATTCTCCCAATAGAAGATCATATTAGATCAACCCCTACAATTGTAATCATATTTTCGAGATTAGAGTTAACAACGTCCCTCGTTTTTTCCAATTATTTGTCAATGGGTTGATCAACAATAAAATAAATATTTATGAATATGACACCTTATCAATTTTGTTGCTTTTATAAACGAGTAGCAAACCAGGTTTCAGCATGCAAAAATATCGATTCCATTTTCTTAAAGTTCCACGAACTTTTAGCCAATCAGCCATAACAACAACTGTCGGATCATGCAAAGCTGTAAACAGCTCTCGCGTAACTCGTTTTTTCTCATCACGGTATTCCCGCTTTTGCTTCTAAAAAAATTCAAATTAGCTCGATTTTCTAGCCCTACATTGAAAGTAAAAATTTTTAATCTCATGTGCCTCGAAAATTCCTCGAAAAAAACACTTTTATGGAACTAAAGGTTGACATTTGGACCGAATGCATTATTCCATAGTTGCCGGAGTATCGAAGTGCCAAGTAAGCAAACATAACAACAACAGAATCTTTTTTTTAAGAAAATAAAGCTGTTTTTTCAGGACTGTTTGCCTTATCTATCTGACCTATTGAAGATCAACTAAAACTCAGAACAGCCGTTATAGAAAGGAAGAACGAATTTAAGTCCACTAATATTATTAGAAAGAAATCTACTCCTAAACTGTTTAAAGCAATTTTTATAATACATTCTGTTGAGCAAAACCGAATTTTATTAAAAAGCAAGGATTCAAAACGATACAGTAGTTTTGCTGTTTCTTCTTGAAGATGATGGGTGTTTCGAAGAAAAATTAAAAATTATTTAACTGAAGAATACAACCGACTGTGTGTCATCAATTACGATAAATCTAAATTATCAAAACGATAAATGATACATGAAAGACAAAATACAAATCGTGATTTTCTGATTTCGAAATGCGAAAAATGAAACCTTCAAGTTTATCTTCCGATCATCAGCATTTTCATTATCATTGGCTGTATTGGATGAGCTTCGCTCCAGATATAATGCTGATTCGGCCGGGCTCAAATTCGTCATGACCGTATTTGATACAGTGCTTCTTCCTCAGCTATTTCTATCCATTTATTTTCATCACTTCAACGCTTGAAAAAATTTCATTGATGTATTTTTTTTGTTAAAATTGAGTCCGAAATAAATCAGCAATAAGCCCAGACGACAGAAAAAAGGGCACAATACAGGACAAACACAACTTCACATCCATCAAAAGCTACTACTACTAATAATAATATCTCAGATAAGAACTCATACACATTATTGATACCTATATTAGAACATATTGAATAAGACACATGCACACACGCGTAGATACACGCACACACACACCCGTGACCACGTAGACAAACATATCAATGACATACCGACAGAGAAGCAGTGAGTTTGGTATGTGGGTATGTGTATGTAGAAGTGTTTGTGTGTGTGTGTGTGTGTGTGTATGTGTGCATGTGTGGCTGTTAGTTGAGAAAGTGAGCACAAGTGTTGCATATGCTGTTTCATTGACCCTACAGGATACAGAGACAGGATGTTAGTGTTATATATTTCTCATTTGGATTTCACTAACTGGATTAAATATGTTATATATTTAAGCTCCGTAGGTAAATCTTTTATGAAATGTTAGACAGTATCACTTCCACTAATAACATGAATGGGCGATTATTTGAATAGCAGGATTGATAAAAGTGATGTCAAAGATGAATAGAAGGATGACAAGAGGGAGGACATTATATGTAATGCACAACCTTCTGGAAACGTAATTTGTTTTCTGTTCAAATTACGGTTTCCAGAGGGTTATGCATTACACATAATGTCCTCCCTCTTGTCATCCTTCTATTCACCTTTGAAAGATAAAAATGTTCCAAAAAGCATAGAGCTTCAGAAGTATAATTGTTGTCGGAAATAATATAATATACATAGCAAAGAAGCGACCAAGCGATCACTCCTATTCTTGGTAATTCATGGTAATTGTATTATAACTTCAACAAGGAATACGACTCTCCATCATATATTAAGCCTTCACTACAATTTAACAATGCCATACTAACTCTCTCTCTCTCTCTCGAAAAGAATCTCACAAAAAAGTCACAACAAATGTTAGAAGTAATGAAAACGCGTTAGTTTTTGATTTAAAATAAGTGGTCATCTGAGAATAATGAGCAGTGACCAAAAGCTTGACCTCGCCTCTACTATGTTATGGATTAGTTATTATGTATTTGTTAGTGATATTGCACAAGATTCTTTCCATATCTTTTCACGAAAATCTTAAAAGAAATTAAATCTTGTTTATTTTTCTTTCCATATATTTATACTTCAATAACCATTGAATAACGTGGAGTTAAATGTAATAATATAAATTTAGTAATAAATTAAAGCACATCCGTTTATCGTGAATTAAAAGTTTACTAGATTTATTGCTGTGGTGGGCATGATTATTTCATATTAAAAAAAAAACCATTTCCATTTGCCAACTATGAAATATTTTTTCATTCTATCACCTCTGACGGTTAGCAGCAACATATATCAACTACCACACCTTACTTCGTGTAAAAGAACTATAATGGCTGTTATCAGGCTTACATCATGAAAAATAGATTTTGAACTTGAAAATAATAAACTGAAGAGCTGTTATTCAAGATAATTTTCGGTGTGCTACAACAAATGGATCAATACCTTAGCAAAAGCTTTAACGTTCACTCCAGAAGTCCATTAGCTCCATCATCATCGTTATCAAATCAAAACAACAACAATGGTATGTTTGTAATTAATACTGATATGGTTCTCGATGCAAGCGAAGAACATATTTTACTTCAAATCGAATTTACATACAATTATCAACCATCATCATTGCCATTATTATCTATCTCATCGCATTTTAATAAATTAAGTAAACCAAGCACAGCAAAACAACGATCCTTTTTTGCTGTAAAACTGATTCTCTCTCCAATTTTTGTTTCGTATTCGTTTCGAATCAAATTAAAAGAACAATAATATGATATATTATAATCATATTCCATTCTCAGAAAATACTGCAAAATTAAAAGTGATGATTGTGTCACCAAACTATGACTGAAATCATCAAGTGCCTTCAAACAACAAATGGTAGGAGAGAACTTCATGTCAAAAACCATCAATCATCCATTAACTTAGCATTCAGCACTTTTGTAAGATACAGGTAAACTGATATAATCTTCTATTCTCAAACTTCCAATTGTACATTTTAAACAATAGAATTTATTACACACTTAAAGCGTCAAACGTTTATATCTGAAATAAATAAGGTAACTGCCATTCGCGCATTGGTACAAATAGGAGCAACTTAGTTTGCGGTAGCTTTTGTTGTTCTAAATTGAAGATTGCCAACAAAATCAACAAATTTCGTTAACTAAACAAATATTGCAAAAGAAAAATCGAAAAAAACATTTTCTCTCGAAATACTTAAAAAAAGAAAAGCAAAAATAATATTCGCTGTTTCATTCCAAAACGATGATTATCTGTATCCGAGCAATACGATCTACCATCGATCGATCCGTTTAAAAGTCGTTACAAATTCGAAGAATGTTCTACCTTCAACATCTTAAATGCTAAAAAAAATTAGAACTGAAATATGCAAATCATGTCTCATAGTCAATTTAAAATACTGCAAAATTAACCGCAAGAAGAATATTAGTTTAGATAAAATGATTTGAGTATTAATGAGCTACTATGATGATGTTAAAATATTCGAACAGTGCATGCGAAGATGAAAAGCTCTGATAGGTGAATTGGTAACAACGGATGATCGATTGAAACCTGTTATTGACCCCAAATCATATCTCTATAATTCTTGCTATATAGTTTACTTTCAGTACTCAAATATATTCAGTAGAATTCGAAGGCGTGCTTTAATTATCCATGTCTTAGGTTTCTATCATTCTCATCATGTGTCGAATCTTATCAAGCCAATAATCAAATAATATACGGTAACAATAACAAAAGTATCTTTTAAAATGATGCTAAATAAATCAAACAAAATTATGATGGTGAGAAATGTTTCTCAATTTAGACAAATCATAAGCTTAAATAAACATAAACAGCCAGCACTCGATTCTAAATTCCCTACTGCTAAAGATTTCTGTATCTTTTTAGAATCTGCTTCACTCGGAAAATATATCAGGACCTTCATTGGAAAGGCACTCGTGGCATTCATTCAATTTTCAAACGGTTGCTTTATTGAATGCATATTAATAACGGTAATTTTATCCTGAGTGTAATAAAGTCCAACAGCTTAAGTTACGTTTGAATCATTTCAAGCTTTTTTCAGTTATGAAAAAGACACATGTTGTGCTTTAATCTGGGCATATTTCAGATGTGGCCAAATCTGGAACCGCAATTTACAAATATCAAGCTATAAGAAGTTCAGAATTAAACAGTGACATCGCTTGTACTTCATTTATTCCTTTATTCCATCCTTTTTTCATTGAAGCTTTCGTGATCTCCTTCCATCAAATATAAAATTACAAAACAATCTGTTTTGAAAACTTCATCGACTAAATTTAACTTTCCACAAGAAATTCATATATATATTTAGGTTTCGAAAAACTGCATTACTTCTAAATATTGTTAGCTTAATTTAAATTTATTTATGAATTTAACAAGCTTCTGGGGAATTGTATGCGGCATGCTAGTTCAATTTTAAAATCAAAGAAAGTCAAAGTTGGATTTAAAGGAACTCGCATTTGAAGAATTTTGAAAAAAAAGCAATACGAAAATTATTTTTTGCTCCTTGAATAATTTATAGCAGCCAGTTTATGCCGTAATACCGAAGAGGACAAAGAAGAAAAATTGCAGAAATTAAAAATCAAATCATTACTCTTTCGGAAAAAGCCAAAGCAATTTTTTGGAATATGATCAAAATTTCATCAAGAATTTTATTATAAATTAAAACAAAATTAGGTGGAATGTGGCTACAACAAAAATCATAAATTATTGATGGAATAAAGTATATCAGTCTAGATCAGTTCGCCTCCGTAATAACAAATTTCCAAATAGCCCATAAAGATATGGATTGATTACTGCATTAAAGACCATAATACTGTGCAAACAATAAACCTGAAAGATAATTTCTATTCGCATATTTTTTCATAAGAATTTTTCAATTTATAGAAATGTTTTGGTTCTAAATCATTCCTGAAATATTTTTCTAGACTTACCTTATTAGCATGTGTCTCAAAAAATCCTTGAGGATCCATAAAATGATACAAAGTAAGCCCATTATACGGTAACCAGCATATTATATAAGCAGCTACTAGTTGAAAACTTATTCGAATCGCTCGACTTCTGAAATTTTCATACATTAATCAAGCAAAGCCACATAATTCAAAGTAGTTAACCCACCGCATAATTTTGGTGTTGTACGACCGATAATTGACAAAGTGATCAGCTGAACCGTGATCGGTAATAGCAGTGTTCTCTTGTTTCGTTATCAGCTGCTTACTGACAGCCTGACCATCTTCACTGATAACGACACGTGGACTAGCTAGAATGCATTGAGAATATCGAATGAACGCCTAATAAGAGATAAATTAAATAGAATGGTTCTGAGGTATCTCATTCAACATATTTAAATACGACTGCGTTTACAGCAGCACCAGAAGATGAGCTGGAGTGATTGACAGAGCGATCATTGCAAATGAATTATGAGAAAGATTAAGTTTGATTTCAAATATCCGTTTCTTTTATCTTAGCTTGCTAATTTAGAGTTTTCTTTTAATTCCATGAAAACATCTTTTCTGTGTAGAAAATAATAAAGTAGTGACTAAGACGTACGCCTTAACAGCGACGATGTGTTTTCATCCTTTCCTTTCTTTAGCGTCGGTTTTAAGGGCTTCCAATCTGCAGATGGTAATTCTTTTCAGTGCGTTTATGTTGCAATTTTATCAAATTGAATTTTTATACCAAAACATGACCCTAATTTTTGAACACAAACAATATTATTGTGTGTCCATTTCTTCATTTCTTTTATTAAATTACTTTATATGTACTATTCATTGATCAAAAATCAATGAGCAGGTATATTTCTATGTATTTTATCCCAGTCAGAAGTTTATATATGATTTCTGGGTATACCTGAAAAATTTAAGATATGGATGGACTTTAAACTGATAAGGAGCGATAATCCATTTCCTGTCTCTTTATTTCGGCAACGATTCTTCGTTTTTTTTACCTCACTTAGCACATTATCTTTCCATATGCGCTTACATTCCTTAGAATATTATTAAATACTGGTATGCCCATACAGATGCATAAGGAAATGGTGAAGGAACACCATTTATTCATCTTTGTTGATTTTAAATGATAATTAAATGTAATGTTACGGTCAATGGCTATTGAAACAACTCTGTGTAAACAGTTTTCAACTATTGAAATAACTCTGTGAAACAATTTTAGTTAACTCAAATTTGATTCTTCATTCTGTATGCTTTAGACACTCTCAATATTTCTGAATTCTTTTCTCGAACTGGTGAATCAATTTCATACAACTTCTGTACTTTATATCTTTTCCACATATGACCATTATCTAACAGCAAAATCTTCCAGATACGAGGGCTGTCGATTTGGGAAAGGAGTTTCAAACGAGATTTCTAGGCAGAGAAAAAACCTTCTTCAAAAATAAAAATTATTGAGTCACATTTGTTATAATAACACAAGTAATTTTTAATCAGAATAAACTACCATTAGTTATCATTTAATGATTTATTATTATTTCAGTAAGAAAATTCTATATAGCTTCCTTAAGAGAGGAATCAAAAATGAAGCGGACTGAAAATAATCAACTTCAAAAAAAATTTTCCCATTATTTTTTGATAACCCATCGATTAGTTTTTTTGGAGAGAAAATTTAGGTTTCTAGTTGATTACATTTTTTAGTGACCAGTGATTTTAACTACTTCTGAATTTCAAATTTAAACTTTCTCACATACCAGCAGACTGTTGATCCCTTACACATCGCTTATTGTTTTCGGAACCGAAAACATTTAATTGGATTAAATTATGCGAATACATTGTTGTATTTGCTATGGGTTGTGAATTCAGATAAACCCAGCAGGATACAATTAGATAACATAACTGCAACATTGAAATTCACTCCACTGCAAAAAAATTTCAACTTACGTTTACCATATTCTTAAGGATTTAATGACACCTTTTATTCAAAAAATTCAGAGTTAGACAAAAGTAAGAAAAGAATACAAACAAGTAAACAAACCAGAACAATAGTTGCTGGAACCCAAAAAATCAGCATCGTATGAACAACTACATAAATATTTTCCAGTTCCATCAAATGATGCGATGTTCGAACACTATTATTTTGCATGGCTTGCTCAACACGAATTATATCCCAGATCTGTATTTTAATTCTTGGAACCCAAAGTAAAGCAATCAATAGCAAAGAATAAAAATTTAAGTAGAAATAGAAATAAAAATAAAATTACGAAAATAATAATTGATGGAGCGCAATTTGGGGAAATATGATAGAAAATCTATCAAAGAAATTTTGAAGTCACATTTGAAGCAATATTTATTTACCTGCATACACTGACTCCAATTAAGTTCCTCAAATGCAAGAAATGTTTTCCACACAACAAACTGTGGTGTACTGATGATAGCGGCAGCAATCCATGCTATCATAAGCATAACTCGAGTTCTTTGCTGAGCTTTTTCCGGTGAATGATGTTTTGATGACATTACTGATAATAAACGATCAAGTGCTATGCAAACAATCACATTTGATGATACCTGGATTAAAATTTTCGACTATAATGTTTTTTGAAAATGATTGACATCTATTACTTTATTGTTGGCATATTCTTGATGGAAAATTCCTCGCTGCAAACCTAATAAAATTTTATATTAAAAAACTTTCTACATCAATTCTGCTTTCCGAATTTTAGGATGGTCTTTATACTATCTTAAGAAGCAGTAAAGTTCATGCGGTGCTCTCCCTTCGTTTTCCACGCCTTATCAATCAGTATTTGCAAGAATTCCTCGGGAAGCATAAATATCCGGCTTCTAATTTTAGAGAGCATTTGATCAGAAAAAGAAGTTTTTATAATACTATATAGTTTCCTTCTTCTAATCACAAAGTAAATAATAAGTAAAGTTATTGAATACACAACTAAAGAGTTTTTAGATGAGGATTCCATTATATAATTTCTCATATCAGGCAAAAACTAATATAATTATCATTCCTATAATTAAACAAACTGACATTCGATTTTCAGAATCCAACAAATTTTCTCATCAATTTTAAAATTTTTACCTGAAAAGAAAATGTATGAAGAAATTTGATAATTTTACATAAGGAATTTCCACCACGCCAATCATATGTTAGCAGCCAACAGACTCGTGATGGTACATATATAAATAGTACAAGTAAATCAGAATAATTCAAGTGTCGTTTCAAAATATCAAGGCGTGTAGCCGTTGGTCGCTCTGTGATCTAAATTTTACTAATATAAATGAGGAAAGATATGAGGAATGTAATTAATAGTCCGTGACGTGTTTTAATGGTGACATATATTGTTGGGCTGCTGATTTGTTCTGTCAGCTTTTTCAGCCTTGCGTTCTTTCATTTAAATATTATTCCATTTAGGATTAGAATACCATTGAATTTGGGTCCTACTGAAAATTGTTCTGGACTCAGAGTCCTATCTTTCAGTTTCCTTCTCTTTTAAATCCCAAGCATTACAAATGAGGGAAAGAACGTTGTTGAATGCTGCGTTGACTGGTTGTGTTTTCTCACAATGCTTTTGACTTTTTTTGAAATTTTATGATAAATAATTTTGTTTGAATAAAATTTTTGAATCAACTCATCTCAAATATTTTTTGTAACTTAATCTCCAATCATGCTTTGGAAAGAACAAAATCTAAGTGATCAAATTGAAATTAAATGGAAAGAGAACTCGAAGTTGACGTGGATTAAAAAAATGACGAAGATTAAAGAAGTAATAAACCAATTTGGATGACTGGAAAGCTATGCAACCAAATTTATTGTAAATTTGGGATTTTCACGGAAGTTTCGAATAGTTTATTTCAAGTATATATGAGATAATTTTTTCTCGAGAATCTATCATTCTTAATAATGAGAAATGATTCCGTTTTACATATTATAAGAATGAAAAGGTACGGAGATATTCTGATATTTGCAGAAATGAAGCAATTTTTCGTTCAAAAATTTATGAGATTAATACAAAAGTTTAGATATCAGAAAAAAGCGATGCTTATTTTTCCTATATGTATTAATTCATTCATTCACTTACTTCAAGTTTTTATTTAATTTCAATTATCCAGGCATATATATAATGATTATATTGAGTTTTATTGAAATATTTCATGAAATAACAATCGAAGAAATTTCATTTGACAACTTTTTTAAAAAGTAAAGAATGTGAAAATATGAAAATGAATTGAAATTGTAATAACTTCGATACATTCATGTTCGAAAACAGTAGTTATAACACTAAACTTCCTTTTCACCTACAGTTCTTAACAAAAAAATTTTAAGCTTCAAAGTCATTCTTCGCAAGATAAGTGCATTTACCTGTGCATGTGCTGCAAGATTTAATGGTCCACCAATAATAAATAAAATGAGTAATGTTCCTAATTCAACATAATCACTTGCAATTGGTTCTGGTGGACGATCATTCTCATCCATTACCTGAAAAAAAAACATCCAATAAAATCAAAAAGACAAAACATGGGAGCCGAGCTACACTTAAGCTAAATTAGACTTTTGTTTTAAAAAATGATAATGACGCATAAGGATAGAAAGATTAAAAACAAAGAATCCCATGTTTTACGAGATTTGAATATTTTTTGGCAAATTTACACCTATTTTTGCTCATACCTCTTTTCTTTAGAGTGCATGTACGATAAGATAGAAAGTTAAAGAGACTAAAGGTATCCAAATTGACGGGTAACAATGTTCACATGGTATTTTACTACAAAAGATTTTGGAGATGATGAAATTTGAAAAAAAATATATCAAAAATAATATTCCAAAACTCACTAAGGTCAATTAAATCGGCTAGAATCAATGAACTTAGAGTACTGGCTCAAAGTTTATTGATTACAATGAAATTTCCTAAGCAGTCGCGCAAATTTTGAATGAATTTTTGTGAATTTGTTTTTTGCTTAAACACTAAATTACTATTCATCTACCATATTTTGATGCTTGCCTAATGTAATCTTTGAAAAATTCCTCGTCCATCTATCATCCAAATATTCAGTGTCAAAATGATTTTATGCCATTGTTGCAGACCAATTACATAATAGTATTTTTAATGGATAATATTAGTTGTTAAAAAGATACATAAACTGATTTATTTGTGTATCAGTAAATATCGTAAAAATATCAGAAGAAAAACTATTCATCAAACAATATGTTTATTGCTACAATATTCCAAAGTTAAAAAATTCGAAAGAAATATAGGGAAAAGTGAATGGAAGAAAAATATTTCTGAAGGAAGGGTTTGACAATTTCCATCAATTTAATGGAAGAAGCGATAGTAAATTACACAGGAAGAAGAGCTGAAGTGAACTATCTGAGAATAGCATGCCATATAAAATTAATTGATCTCTTGAGACAGTTATATGAAATCTCGAATTGTATCAAATAGCGCAAAAATTTTCCTCTTGTCATGAATCTAACCTTAAAAGTCCATCTATGCTGTTATCAGTTTTTTGTTACATCAATCTTTCTTCGCGGTATTGAAATTTTAAGTTTAACAAGAAAACAATATTAATAGCATTCCATCAAAAATTTTGAAAAAATTTTTTTATAATTATTATTTCTGAAAGAGGAAATAAAAGAGCAGTTGAATATTATTTTCAGATTATTTTCTGTAAGAGCAAGCATTGAAATAATTTTTTCTCATAGTCTGAATTACTCTATTATGCACTGAGTTTTATCTGTTTTGGAAATTAATAAAAGATCATTTCATTTGTCAGCATAGCAAATGTATCGCTTTTAATTTTGAGCTTTCTTAAATTTTACATTCAACTAAATTGTTTTGTATGTATGATATAATTATTAGTAAATTAATAAAGGAAAATTCAACAATAAAGTAATTCCATGTATTCTTCAAATGTAATTGACAATCGATGTCCTTAAAATTGATGTGAAATGAATGAGTTGTCAGATGGAACACTTACTGCTGATATTTTATTAACTCATTTGCTTAAATAAAGCATTATGAACATCTTATAAAGTTCCATATGTGTATTTGCTTGATGTGCCATTCAATAATCCAACACAGCAATATCGATACAATTGAGCGGTTCTTTAAATATGGTATTTTAAATATATTTAATTATTTTAAGTTCCTTCGAGAATTTCTCATTCTGTTATAAAGTGTATTAAAATGAAAGTAGTAGAAGAACAGAAAATTAAGTATTATATTTTATAGCGTAACATTTTTCAATATTCTCAAGTTGTAAAAAAATGAGGAAAACCAGCAATGTGTTACATATTAAATACTTCTTTAATTACATTGTTATAGGCTTAACAAATACTTCAAATAAGCTTAACTCTTTTCTTTCCTTTAACGATCTAAATTTCATTCTTTTTATTAATTCTTTTAGCAATCTAAGTTTTATTCCATTTATATTCCCGAAAATATAACTTTGTATGCTATTTAATTGCATGCGATGAAGTTTATATGGAAGAATAGATGTTTGTGTTGAAATTATGCTTTGCTATTTAAACGGGAAATAGTGGGAATACCTGCTTACGTATTGTGAACTTAAATCGAAGAAAGGATTTATAAAGCTTAAAACAATGAACAGAAAACAATAGTTTTGAAAGTATTAATTAATGATTATTTGAAAAAGAATGAAGCGATCTATTTAAAGCGAAACTATATGTAAAGTATTTTTGCGGCAAAAATAGCAAAAATTTAAATAAAACAACATCATAAAGCTAAGATTAAAAGTTCACATGCACTTCGTAGCAGTTGTTAACAATTGATAGAACAATTATAATTAACAATAAATTTATCTGTCTAAAGTTTCAAGCTTTTTTATGAACAACAAAAATTCTTGCAATAATAGCAATTGTTGAAATTCTAAACTCGATAAATTATGTCAAATTTTGGATAATTGGATACATACGTTTTTCATATTGTGAAATAATATTTTATCTCTAATCTATATTTATGCCAACTTTTTATTGTGTTTTTTTTTTAAATTAATGAATACAAAGTCAATTAAAATATAAGGCTTCAAGAATTTACAGCAAAATGAGGTGAAAATTTTAGCTAAAATAAAGTATGCGAAATTTTTTTTAATGAAAGAAAATATTTAAATGCAATTTATGGCGACTTTTCTGCAAACTTTAACCATAAAATTAGTTTAGAAATAGTGATATACTGAGTTGCCTGAAAATATCATCAATAGTCACGCAATTTTTGAAATTACCTTTCCACAATAACAAAACAAATTTTAGTCAAATTAATGCCTAATGATTTATGTAGTGATTTAACCAAATTTTTATGTTTTCCTTAAAATTTTGTGATATTCAGTATGATTACTGAATATCACAAAATAGACAATTAGTTCAGAGATTAAGAAGAAACGGCAAAAGAAATTCTTGAAATCTTGAGATTCAGAAGAAAAATAAAGAAGGATGAAATTCCAAAAGCGCCGTCAGAATGGTTGTCACTATTTCTTCATTTCCATTCTTATTTTACCGTGGATATGCATTGATAATTTTCCCTTTGCTATTCAATGTCGCAATAATTTTCAAAAATTGTTGAAAAAACTTTGAAAGAGCAGTTGTAAGATTAAAGATTCACAGTTTGTTTCATGCAAACAGAAAATCACTTCAAATATTTTCGAACATTTTAAAAATGGATGAATTCGTTATGGATAGAGAAATGGTGATATTAAGATTGGATATTGCGCCTGCTATATTATTCATAGCCCAGTCTTTTTTTTTGAAGAAATTAATTTACAAGCTTTTTCACATTTATAAGACTTAGCTAATAAACATACTTTGTTTTAATTAAATTAATGATAAATAGAAGAGAAATATGAAATCATTTATTTCTTTTTTCATTTAAACTCAACCTATGCTTTTACTGCTATTTACAAAATAAGAATGGAAATGATTAGTGACAACCATTCATTTACATTTGCATAAAATTAAAAGGATAATTAGATTGTTGCACATTCAATCTCACGCAACCCTTTAATTCATTTATTTTCATATTTTGCACTCCATATCTTCTGCTTAGTCTTTTTCAGGAGTTTTGATATTAAATAGGGAATTTAATATCAAAATTTCCTGATGTTCATTGAAGCTTATCTAAAAATATATCATTTCTTCATGTTTTATAAGAACTTCATTGTTTCCCTTAGTTGATAGCATAACATTGTTGACATAAAGGTTTATCATGCTTTCAAGAGCGAATTTACTTCTATAATTTTCCAAATTAGCTGATGACAATAAGAGAGATGATGATATCACTCCAAACGGAACTCTTTGGAACCTATAATATATATATATAAACTGATAATATGTTTTCCATTCTTCCATTGCTTGCCCTCAGATATCCCTTAGACAAAAAAAATCGAGTGCACTTTCTTTCTTTCCGTTGGGAGTAACTTCAATTGTAAAAAGTCTCAATATCTGCTATTAAGACATTCTCCATCATTCGGAATCGAAGAAATACTCTTATTCATTCAGGAAGAGTTATAGGTCCACAATGTAAGACGTCTTTCAAACTTTTAATTCCTGTAAAATGTAGACAATTCGGTCATATTCAGACAGTTATAATTTATGAGGTAAATAATAAATGATACCGACCTGGTCCATTTCGGCACATACTCTTCGATAATGTTGGATTGTAATTGATCGTGAATCATTTCATTGTACTTGAGTGGGTAAAAAAGTTAAATTCCATTTTTAATAAAAGTAATTCTTATAAGTTTTTATTAATGATAATTCATTCTCTTAACTTCATATGCACACAATGAACTACTGCACTTCATAAAAGAGAAGTCAGGTTATATTCAAAATTATCATATTACAATTTGACACTTCTGCTTACAGCACGATTGTTCCAATTTGTTTTGTAATTGCATACGTAAATAAACTAATCATACGCTAAATGAACAAATATGAGAGGGAAAAAACCTTCATAAATTAAATTTAATGCTTTCAAAACGCGTCCATCAGATTTTAGTTTCTCTTCCTCAAAATATATGTGTATTTGTCTTTTTAACTAGAAATGTAATTTCACCTGGTTATCCCCTTGGACTAAATCAGCTCATTTTAATACTATCACACATTATATCCTGAAGTGAGACAATTCCGCATCATCGATTGATTTTAGCTAGCTAACAGAACTAATAATTATTATTATTTGTTATAAACAAAGAAAATACAAATGATTGATAATGTACAGTACAGGATGGCTGTTAGTGAAAGTAGATGAATGGAAGAAAGAAAAAAAAATAAGTAAATATGTAAAAGAAGCATCAATTTCAAATATATAATTAAAGAACTGACTAACGAATGATGTAATAATAAATATCATTAACGTTTGAAAAGTATTATTGACTATACATCATTAGAAGCCAATAAAAGATCAAAATTAAAATTTCCCTCAAGAATATTTCTTGAAAAAATTCTTTCAAATGAAGGATCTCTGG